AAAAAATATTGTGGTCGGAGAGTTTGATAAGAATAAAATTCCTCTTCTGAATTTACTAAATCCACTTTATTAAATATTAAAATTTGGGGGGTCTTAAATTTTTTTAAGTATCTTTTTAATAGAATTTCTTCCTCGTCTACTTTGTCAGTTACTCAGCAAATTAAATCACTGACTTTTAATAATTCTTCGGTTTGTTCTTTAATCCCCTTTTCGATTTCTGTCTTGGGAGAAGGAATAAAAGAAGGCGTATCAATCAACTTGTAAATATTGTTATTGTCCCCTATTTTAATTAAACTTTCGGCATAATTAATTAATGGACTTGGTTTGATTTCTCCTTTTCTTATAGGAGAGGAATAATATTTAATTAATTGCCGAAAAAGGGTGGATTTTCCTGCTTCTTTATTTCCGATTATAGTGATTATTTTCATACAAAAACATTTCCTCCTTAATATTGCTTCGGTTTCTTAAACAACGATTAACTCAAAAGGAAACTATTATTTTATTTTATCAAAAAGTGTCAAACTTGACATAACCAAATTTAACTTTACAAAAGGCAAAAATATTAATCCTTATTCTGTTTTCTTCCCCACGTCTATAACTTAACGACAAAAATCCTTTGAAATCAACTCTTTTTTGAATAAATAAATCATCCAACTCATAATAAATTAGCATCAAGGAATAATTTTATCTAATAATTCAATTGAAAAACTCAATTATTAGCGAGCATGTTCTATTTTTTTATATTCATAATTTATAATGCTAAATTATTAATAAAGAGCGGGAATTGTATATATTTTAATTCCCGCCCTAAAAATAGTTATTGAAAGATAAAAACTTTGTTATAAAGTTTTAATAATCCTTCTTTCTGCTCTTGTAAACAACTACTCCAATAATAACCGCGAAAATTATTCCAACTACCATAATGGCGGCTATTATTCCACCATTTCCATCTTTACCTTTATTTCCTCCTTTCTCATTATAATTTTCACCAACCATTTCTTCTATTTCACTTCGGCTAATTGATTTTTTATCGGAACTGCTTTGTAGGAAACTCCTTCACTTGTCTTTGTTCGGCGTTTAACTCACTTTCCTCAATGGTTTTGGTTTGCTTGTTGCTTAACTCGACTACTATTTTATCATTACTTAGAGTGATATTAATAA